GAAACAACGGGACTCGGGGTCTTTTCCTTGGTGGGGAAGGCGAGGCCCTTTTGCTCGTTGAGATACGTAGCAAGCGGCTACGGCACTTTTGTTCACCCGTTGGGAGAGCTCGAGATCCGGGAATATGACGTCCTCGTGTACAATCGCTCCCGCTCGTGACCGCGATAGACGTGGTCGCACATGCGTAGGATGCAAGAGGAGAATAACAACGGACGAGTGGAGAAAGGCCATCTACTTCTACTCGGCTGTGCTACCTCCTCTTCGTAGTTAAAGTTAAGAGAGTTAAGGTTACAGTTCATTTGCTTCACGCTTCGTTTGGTATATCGAACGTTGAGTGGTGGTGAGGGCATAGGGTGCACAACAGGCGATACACGTAGTATTCACGGAAGGAAGAAGGTCCGATAACAAGTCTGGGCTGCATAACCGTGGGGCACTGGGGAGAGAAAGTAAGAAGAAGCAAAAGGGACAGGAAACAAGAAAAGAGTAGGGCGAAAAAAAAAAAAAAAAAAAAAAAAAAAAAAAAAGGAAGGAGAGGATTAACGTTGGCTCCTAGATCACTCTAAGTGGCCGTCGGTTGGCCAAGAATGCATAAGATTCTCTCCGATGTTAACCATAAGTCCCTTCTTGAGTGCCGAGTTTATCAAACTCTCAGATATGGGTGATGAGTGGAAACTACTTGCGTCAAGGTACATTTTGTTCCTTTAAGGTTTTTGAGTAGCACATTAGCGCATGGGGGAGGTGCTAAGTTTAGAGCATCACCCGAGAAAAACAAAATATCAATTGATGCTTGTTCCGTCGCTCCGTAGGCGGGTGCGACGGCACTACGAAGGTCGAAGTTCCAACCTGGGAAGAGGACCGGTGGGGGTTCTTGTGTTTTCAAACGGCATTGGATCCCGATTATGGAGAGCCTCCTTATCCAAGGTCGTATATTAAGAAGCATGTAGCAATACTGGAGGACAATCGCGACACTGGTAGTCGGGGGTCGCACAGAAACCAGACCGGAGTCGAGTTGCCAAGTGTAGCGGAGATAGGCAATGGGAAGACGTTGATAGGCCCGTCCGGGGTGAGCCCACGGGGTCGGGAAAGGGGGGAGGGCGGCCGCGGGCAGGCATGAAAACGGTCGCGATATCGAATGGTACGTATAGAGGGATGGAACCGGCTGTTGGTTCTGGACAGAACACACGGCGAAGCCACTTATCAAAAAGTCCAACGAGGTCGCCCCTGGATGGAAGGTGTAGAAGAAACCCTTGGAAACAGGGTTGGCTGCCCTTCACTGACCACCACCAGTCTTCGGATTGGATGACTTGATACCATCGATACCACCCTACCCGTGGGTGTCCCTGGTTGCTGTTTCGGGCAACTTACCTTTATCTAACTGGCTCGATCCAACACCCTCCATCACGACGCTTTCACAAATGTGGAGGCTAGCCACGTTAGCGTCCGAGAGAGAGTGACGGGGTCGCTTGGCTAAGAGGAGTTTATTGGCGTGGGGCCTTGATGCCAGGTCACACTGCCGGGAACGTACAAAAGTCTATCCACGGGCTGTGCAGTGCATTTGAAGGGTGTCACTGTCTGGTCCTACTACATCCGATGTAATGCATACGTCGCCAAGAAGGCTCGTGTCCTGGAGGAGTGCTGCACTCGGGACGGGGTTATTGGCCTGAGGGGGACACCGTTCGGGGTTGCGCTAACAGAAGGTCCTTTGGCTTAGACAAAATGGCTCTGCATCGCATCTGGGCCATTTGGAACTGACGGCTGCTTGGTCCAGAAACTCCGGATTAGACCCGCCCGTGGAAAATAAATTGCCGTTATCAAATGAAGCGTACTTTGTATGCCACCGTCTCGTCTTGAGGTAATTGTCAGGCAAATCACGCAATGGGCTTGGTTAGAGAGAAGCATTAAACAAGATGGTACGGGTGTTCGGATAATGAGAATAAGTTGCTTCAGGGAAAAAAGGAGAAATTATTCGCAACAAGAATATTTGCCACGGCCTGGTGATGCGTTGCTGGGGAAGGAAGCCGATGGGTGAGGGTGATGGGGGGAGGGGGATGATACGATGCATTGGGAAGGCGGGCGCAAGACATCCCTCATGGATCCGTTGTCCTATCGTTCAAATTTCGAAGGTTGGTTGGACGTCCATGTCGCTTCCGAACGACGCTACACTGAGAGGAAAATGCGCTCGAAGGAATATGCGACAGACGCTCTCCTTTGCGCCTAATTTGGAGATGGCATCAATTGATCCGTGGGAGATCTGGTACTTTGTAGACAACATGAAGGGGGGGGAACCGAGGTAGGCCGTATTTGATACAAGTTGAAAGCACTTGATCTTGGTAGCTGCTAATCTGGCCATGCTCCATACCAAGTACCCATTGAAACTCTCAACACCGCCCAGTGGTGGGACGACATAAGGACCTTGCATCGCTTTCGTGCATACCCTTGGCATGGGCCGGGGATATTGATCGACCCGTCCTTTTGCTTGCATTTGGAGAAGCACATTTTGATAGGTTCATGTCCTTCGTGCTTGAGTACTTCTGTTACAGCGCCAAAACGTTGCAACACTACTTTGCTGTTTGTGTCGGTATCATCGACGAGGTAACCCCCATCTTTCTGTGCTCGGCGTGGTGGGAGAGATAGATCGTCGGTCACTTCCTCTTCTGTCTCTGCGATCTCTTCTTTTCATTTCAGATGAAGCACGTCCACCTGAACCAGCCGAGGTTATCGAACCAGAAGCTTGCAAAGGATCTTCGAATGTCGTCTTCTGCTCTTCGAGTCGCATGTGTAACACCTCGCGGCGCAACGGTTGAGCAATTGACCCAATGCCCGACGCAATCAAGTCTATCGAGTGATTGAGGGTCGATGTTGGGTCGATATTGGGTGCACGACAGCTCGGAAGCATGTGCACCAGCCTCGAGCATGGCTCAGACATTAGCATTAAACATTAGACCTTAGACATTGACGATCGCCGAAGTGAGTTTATCGCCCCCGCCTGGCTGGCCAGGGACCCAGCTGGTAGGTCATCGACTGTCGTTGCCCGCCCAAGATATTTCGTAGGTCCACGCTGTTTCAAGACTGTAGGATCGCACTCTGGGGTCTGCCAATCCGGAATGTGGCATTTTAATGCCCGTCGCGCAATCCCAAAGAGCTTTATCTGCAGCATTGAGCAGGTCATCGCCGGATCCAATCAGCACCAGGGAATGACCGACTCTGGTGCCGAGCCGGGGGAGGGGAGGGTGTATTGGAAGCCTTCCCTTCAGCGTCGAGAGAGCTGCCATTTTAGCTCAAACAGCCTGCCAGGCGAGATCGACCATTGGGGCTCCGCATACAACGGTACACACCCTTGCCGTTCCTCACACACCCTCCACGAACCCCAAATTAATTTATCCACTCGAATATCCTGTGCTGTTCATATCGGCTTGGGCCACTTGCCACTTTGTAGTTTGTGGTGGCGTTTTTTCGTTTCTTTTCAACCTCCCCTCCGAGGAATGTACGAATCTGCCGGCTCAAGACGCTTAACACTTTGCAGTGCCGGCTGAAATGACATCCCCAGCCGAAGGCCAAGGGGGCAACAGAGCCAGCAATTGATACCTGCCATGGCACTAACACACCGTTCCCATGCGCCTGACGAATCAGCTGCTGCCCTCTAGAAACATTCCATACGCGACGCCGCCTTATCAAACCCCGTCTTCCATAGTTTTGGCGAATCGGCTTTTTAAGTTCACTTAAAACCTAACAAGCTTGTGAGGAAGAAGGGGGATGTGATAGTCGTCCGTCCGTCCCGGCGAGCATGCGGCATGACTCTGCAGCAGTTGACGGTCGAGTAGAAGCATCAAATATGGATGAATGAATCGCATCAGCATCGTGCTGGAGTAGCAATCCGTGCCGGCTTTGCACTTCCTCTCGTCATAGTGGTCTGGTATCGACAAGTAGCCATACTGGTAGAGCCTTGGTACGTAGCAAGGAACACAAGTATTTCCGTCCTACACAGGACTCGTAGGTGGCCTGAGTAGCGTATACCTCCGTTACCCCCCGGACCTCGACGGTATTGATCAATGATACCATATTGCTGGATGGGCCCTTTGCAACAGATCGAGATGGAGAGCCCATTCACCGCACACGACACAAAAGAACATACAGACAAGTACTTCGTACATGCCTCCGGTCATACTCGCAACCCCTTCCTAATGTTTCAACACATCCAAATTGCCCAGGAGGGTGTCTTGGCCAAACCTTCCCTTCTCAGTCCCACCCCTACCGTCCCGAGAGTATGTCCATTTGCTCCCCCCGCACTTCGATTCAAAGTTCCTTCCTCAATCAAGGTCTCGATTCGACTTGTCTGCGTCTCTTCGTGTTCCCGTGTATCCTTGTACTGATGTACCAATTTGGTGGGGGGAGAAGAAAACAGAGAAAGCACCACCGAGCCTCGAGCGTTCAATGCTCTCAAAGGAAAGAGGAGACTTCAATAGAGAGACAAAAGGACTTACGCAGCAGCCAATGTGATCGATCGATCAATGATGTATGATGCCAGATTCGGGCAGGCTGTATGCTTGCAAATGCACCTTCTACAAACGGAGGGTGATACCGTCCCCTCTACCTTCTCCATTCTTGACTCGAGGGTCATCGAGATTAAGAGTCTCGACATATTGCCTTTCTTATCGCTTTCCCACATTTCCGGGACCACGAGCAGCCGATGATCTCCATTGCCCTACTCCGCTGTATGTCCAGAAACCTTTTATATATCTTTTAATAGAAGACCCGTTGCCAGGCTGTTGGTCCGTCCTCCCGTTTATTCAAAAGCATCGCTTCCTCCCCTCGCCCCTGCCGATAATAGTCCCCGGGCTTTCTGATTCCTTCGCCGCGCCTTGCCGTTATATTCTCCCTTTGCTTTGCTCCCGTGCAATGACGGACATCCTCATGCCCAACAGCACTTTCTGAGTATTCTATATTACTTCGCTCTCACCATATAGCAGTCTACCTTAGGAGCTGTGCTCTTCTGACGAACAATGGCGTCCAAGGAGATAACGGAGACGCCCCAAGGGGCGCGGCCTCCTCCAGCCTCGCCCCTTGGGATCCTAAGTGAGAAGAAGCCAGTAGGTCTTTCTTTCTTTTTTCCGTTTTTCCCTCTCCTTTTCTTTTCGTGTTCTCTTATATTTCACCAAAAGCACCAATGCTGATTGACTGACTTGTGATTCAGATCGTTCCCGACTTTTCTGACAATGTTTCCGACTCGTCGAGAGATGAGGGTCAGATCCTCAACGTCACCGAGGACGACCTCCTCGAGGCTAAAGCCCTGGCTTCTACTTTTAGCCTTGAAGATACCCGTCGGGTAAGTCATTGACCTCTAACCTATGTATTGGGCAACTTCATAGCTTCATAGCTTCCCTGCACCTTTGCTCTTTGTGGGACTTAGAACGCCAACTTACACCTAATTCCAGTTGATGCAACGAGTTCACAAGCAACACTCAAGGGATCCCAATTTCCCCATTAGTATTATTGAGAGAATTGAAGAGTTTCTCGGTCAGTCATTATTCCTACCCGACCCTTCTTATTTCGTCACCTCTCTCTGTCCCTCTTTGACGTCTCCATCTGGGTATGAAGCACTAACGCGGCCCGGAATAGCGAGCGAGGACATCTTCGACAACCCCGAGAAGCACGAGCGCCTCATCCAGGAAATGAAGATCGAGGCAGCTCTTATCACCAACAACTCCCCTTACGCCGAAGTGCGAGCTGTCGTCGACAACCACGACGACCCCACCATGCCGGCATCGACACTTCGAGCCTGGTTTATCGGAATTTTCTTTTCGTGCGCTATCTCTTTTATCAACTCATTCTTCGACGTCCGTCTTCCCAGCATCTACGTTATTCAGACCGTCCCCCAGCTCTTGGCGTATCCATTTGGTAAACTCCTTGAGAAGACCCTCCCTGACTGGGGATTTACCCTCTTCGGTGTCTATCATAGCCTGAATCCTGGCCCATTCAATAAGAAGGAGCACATGCTCATCACCATCATGGCCAATGTCGCAAAGAGCACGCCCTATACCAACTACATTGTCTGGATCCAGGTTCTTCCCCAGTATTTCAACCAGCCCTGGGCAATCAGTGTCGGCTACCAGGTTCTCATCGCTTTGTCCACGAACTTTATCGGTTACGGTCTCGCGGGCCTTTGCCGCCGTTTCCTTGTCTACCCCGCATACTGTGTCTGGCCCTCGTCTCTCGTGACCATTGCCCTCAACGCTGCTTTCCATGATGGCGCTAGCGAGAGCGCATCGGTTCTTGGCCCTCTCAAGAGCGTATGGAAAATGACCCGTATCAGGTTCTTCGCCTGGGCTTTCGGGCTCATGTTCCTTTACTTCTGGCTTCCAAACTACCTTTTTGCCGCACTGAGCTACTTCAGCTGGATTACCTGGATTGCTCCCAATAATGGCGACCTCGCCAGAATCACTGGCGGCTATCGAGGCCTGGGATTGAATCCCATCCCTTCATTCGACTGGAACATCTTTACTTACGTGGTAGATCCTCTCATGGTCCCTTTCTTCTCGACCTTTAACGTATTCCTCGGAACATTTTTCTCCATGTTCGTTATCATCGCTATTTATTACACTAATACCTTCAACACGGGCTTCCTCCCCATTAATTCGAACCGTACCTACGATCATTTCGGTAAGATTTACAAAGTCGCTTCCATCATTGACGAAAGAGGCATCTTCGATGGAGAAAAGTATGAGCAATACTCGCCTCCATTCCTATCGGCTGGAAATGCCGTCGTCTACTTATTCTTCTTCGCCGTCTACTCGGCCACTGTGACCTACGGTATTCTCTACCACAGACACGAGATCATGCTGGGACTTAGGGATGCCTGGTCCGCCATTAAGTGGAAGAAGAACAAGAACGGTGACGACCAAGAGATCACCCAGGAAAAGGCGGACCGCGATGCCCTTGATATCCACAATCGTTTGATGTCCTCCTACAAGGAGGTTCCCGAATGGTGGTATATGATTTGCTTGGTTATTTCGATTGGCCTTGGAATCGCCGGAATTGCTGCGTACCCCACAAACACGACTCCCGCCGTGGTGCTCTACGGTATTGCGCTTTGTCTGGTCTTCGTCGTCCCTATTGGTATCATCAAGGCTATGACTGGCGTGGAAGTTACGCTGAACGTGTTGGCCGAGTTCATCGGCGGTGTTTGGGTTGAAGGAAACGCCATTGCCATGTGCTTCTTCAAGTCTTACGGCTACGTCACGGCGGCCCACGCTCTTTCTTTCAGCGCCGATCTCAAGCTTGCGCACTACATCAAGATTGCGCCCCGGTTCACCTTTTTTGCTCAGATGGTGCCGACCGTGGTGTCGACGTTCATTAGCGTCGCCGTCCTCCAGTATCAGATTCACATCGACAAGATCTGCACCGAAGACGCGCCCTTCCGATTCACCTGTCCAGGTCCCAACACTTTCTTCACCGCCGCCGTCTTTTGGGGAACTGTAGGTCCGAGGAAAATTTGGGGAGTCGGCGGCCAATATGCCGTTACTCTCGTCGGTTTCCCCATTGGCGTTGCTGTTGTCGCAATCTTCTACCTACTCAGCTTGAAGTGGCCCAAGAACGCCATCATCAGGAACGCCCATCCTGTTGTAATGTTCAATGGTGCTCTTATCTGGGCTCCCTACACCCTCGCTTATGTCTGGCCCGCCGTTCCTGTCGCTGCCTTCTCGTGGCTCTACCTCAGGAAGAGGTTCCTGGGCTTCTGGTCAAAGGTTTGTATCTCCTTTTTTACCTTTTATTCGTCAATGTCGTCCCGAAGGAAAGAGGACCACGATATGCTATGCATGACAACCTTTGCTAACTATTCTTCTCCCTTTTCCAGTACAACTTCGTTACTTCCGCTGCCTTCTCCTGCGCTGTTGCCATTTCGGGTATCGTCATCTTCTTTGCTCTCCAGATTTCTAACATCGAGGTCGATTGGTGGGGCAATAGCGTTCCCTTCGAGGGCTGTGAAGGCGCTGTATCATGCACCCTCAAACAGCTTGAGAATGAAGGAGACTACTTCGGCCCAAGGATTGGTGAATTCCATTGAGTATAGTACATCCTGAGTTGGAATGGGTTTCCTCTGTATAATTTCCTGAGATTCAAGTTCGTTGCTTAATCTTCTTGAATTTAGGAGAGGTTGGAATCGAATTGGGAGTTTGTATATAATGGCTTAACGATATGCTAGGGGCTATTTCTTTGTATTTCCTTCTATTTCATAATAAAGTCGAGCTTGTTCCTTTCTTCCCTGAAGCTAGTTGACATGCGTCTGTCCCCAAATCGGCATGGTTGACCACCAAATGCTCTCTGAATTCCTGAACGTGTATTAGAGACATGTAGTTACTGCCCCCATCTATGCTCATGATATTGACCATATCGTGATTCAAAGCGGAGCATCTGCTGTTTTATCATAGCAGCTGGCTTGTGTGAGATTGAGTAGCTATGGGGTCCGTTTACTCGTATGTATCAGTCTCTAGCTAGGTAGGATCGAATCTACTGACCCCCCCCAAATTTGACCTACCACCTTCATACGCAAATAGAGTGCCCCGACATAAGATCGTTCCGTCTTACCCGAGATGGAAAGTATTCTTTGAACTTTTGCGGAACCGCAAAGCGTAGATGGACTTAGTCGCTGACCCCTCATATTGGGTGTGTGCATGGTGAGCATTAATAGTCGTATAAAAGAGAGTAAGGGTCTCACTTAAACTCGGAACAGACGACGGAAGTTTCGTTTAGTCCTGGGCGAGAAACTGGGGTGGGAAAACACTAACCCTCGGTCATCTGTTTCGTGATGTGTTAGGGTTAGGGTTATCTTGGCCTGGAGGCGAGGATGATAAATCGATGGTGTGTGCACAATGGCATCACCTTAAAGTAGCCTGGCAGCTCATTTCCATCAATGAAAGTTAAACTGTTTATACTCGGTCGAAACCGTATTGGATTGATATAGATTCCGAGTTCGAAATCACTGATCAAGACTCAACGGATGCAGTCTACCCTTTAACCTCCATTGTTTCGGCTCATATTACATCAATGGTTATGGCCTATCTCATTGCCGTATGAAATTATATGTTAGTCGTCTCATCTCCTGAAGTAAACTGACTCGTTGGTCAGACTAAGGCTTCAGGCCCAAGTTCTAGCCACTTAGAACTCTTTCCAAAGCTGCGATTCCCCCGTCACCAGCCGGGATGGCGTTCGTCCAACCACAACATCCTCGAAGGTGGAAAAATTCCTCTTGCTATCATTTGAGATCTGGAGCATGCACGTAATGTGTCTCTGCCACGTGAATCCAATCATCTTTCCCTGCATTATCTACCTCTGCTCACATTTACCCCTCTCAATCGACTGGACATGCTCCACGAGATATCCCGCCACTATTAGTAGCCTTCAGGATGTCGACCGGAAACGAGAGAGGTAAACGAACCGAGAAGCCTCGACTGCTCGGTAACCTTAAATTTCAAACGTGGGACCACCAGCCCCAATCACCCTTCTTCGCACGGCTGCCTCGCGAGATTCGGGATGTGATATATCTAGCGCTATGGAGAAGCGAGGGCGAGGCTCAACACATATTCTGGCACGAGGACACGGCTTCACTTCCTGGAGATGGAGAGCTGTCGAGAGGTTAACATATACGTCGATGCGCGCCGGAGAAGCGCTTACCTGGAACCCCGGACCAACACTTACGCCCGCATGATGAATCTCGATTATAGTGCTCTCCTCATCGGAATCGTCACGCGAGTTGCTAGAGATCTCAGAGGGTCGTCCTGCAGAATCACCATTAGCACCCCGTTGGCGATGAGTGGGTCCCAACGTTTTGGCTTCACGGGTGATGACCGCTGGTCTGGATCTTTAGACGAATTCAAGTTTCTCCCTAACTTCCGGATATAGCGGAGGTACTGGGGAGATGCTTTTCAGCCCATTCCGCCGGCCTTTGGGACGCCGGAAGGATTTATATATGTGGACTGTCTTTTGTATATATCTCGTTCATCTTGGGAGCTCTGTTTTCTTTTCTTCCTTTTTTTCGTCCAATTCTCTCTTAATTTCAGAAAAGCTCGTTTTTCATGCTATATTGGCTATAGGTGAACCATCCGGGAGGGTGACTTGATAACACCTCCTGATGACGAAGAGTCGGTCATCGGCCGGATGTATTATACGGAAGGCGTCTTTCCCAGGCCCGTTTAACGCAGCCCCAGTCGATACCAACGCCACATCTAACTCTAACTTGACCACGATCACATGGGCGTCCGAAAGCAACGTCGCACCTGAAACTAGCCCCAAATCTTACCCACCCATAGTGCCAAGAGTAAAAAGACAATTTCTCTAGCGGTCGGGTGTCTCCGAGGGCGCTTACCGCATTAAGCGACGAACATGGTGTCAGCCTAGTAGGAGGCGCAGGCTAGGGTGAATGCAGCACGATGAAGGATGAGGATGGGGGCCAGACTTGATGGCAGTGCCATCTCTAGAATGAAATTGTAACCAAATTTTAGGGCTGAAAGTGTGGCTTTCGGCGGCGGTCATTTGGATGGATTTCTTTCTCTGTGGCGGGCTACATTTTGCCATTTTGGAGGAATGATGGTTCCTGCTACGCCTTGTAGGAACAGATTGAGATACTTCCATCCTGTTGGGGGCTACAAAACATCGTGGCCCCTATTCCAGAATGCAGCTTGGGGATGTTGCAAAAAGGAAGCACTACCTCTAGTTAAATTTCCCCAACATATGATGTATAGTTGGGAAGTTGAGTAAACGAATATGACAAATCGAACCATATGTACCAAGCTCATATTTAGGGTTAAGTATGTACATCGCATAGCCATCTCCTACAACCCAAGCTCGTCCAAGATACTCGTGTCAAGGAACTTTTCAATATCCGCTCGAGGAATAGGCTGCCTTCGATCCTCTTTCGCCAAATACGCATCCTCTTCCACTAAGAACTCAAGAAGCTCCGGTGCCCACCGACCCGTCCACAAGTGCTCTGGCCAAACAGCCTCAACAATGTCTGCATCGGATCGGACAAGCTGGGCAACCTTAGCAAACACCTCTTTAGGGTTATTGTTGTAGACGTCGAGCGTCTGGTTGAGGGCCTTGACGAACTCGACGATATCGGCTCGGATAGTCGGGTTGGCGAGCTTCTCCTCGGTGGTGTATAGGGCGTACATCTCTCGGTAAACGGAACCGTTCTGGAAGAAAATATGATTCTCGCCAAGGGCGCGCGCACCGAGCTCGGGAGCGGCCTCCCAGAGACCAAAGGCGTCGATCTGGCCATTTTGAAGCATCTGAGGCAGCGTTCCCGCTCCGCAGGGAGCCCTCATGCAAGCGTTCCCCGATGCGACGGTGTACTGCCCCGGCTCGAGGCCCACGGTTCGAAGGAACTTATTGATGAAGTACCCGGCCGAGGTACCCTGCAGCGTCCCGACTCTCTTGCCCCTGAGGTCTTCCAACGAGTTGATACCCTTGGCCTTGTTGGCGACGATTCGGTACTGGGCCTCGCATATCATGTAAATCAGGCGTAAGCTTCGCCGGCCGCTGAGCTGCTTCAAGCCTTGGGTCTCGGCGTTGGCGGCGACGTCGACGCTGTTGTCGCGGGCGAGGCTCGCAACGCCCCCGGTGGAGATCTGGATGGCGCTGGTGCCCTTGTAGAAGTTGTCGGCGGCATAGCGCTGCGGTGTGTATTCGATCCAGTCGAGGGAGGTCGACACACGTAGGGCGGATGAGGGGGTGCTGAGGAGGGTGGACAGGATGCCCGTTAAGAGGACTAGGCCTTTCATGGTTGGGAGATTTCGGGTTTTCGATATGGAGAAGACCAGAGCTAGAGGAACATCTGTCTCGTAAATGCCGTCTCACATGCGTCTGTTGCGTCCCAAACACGTTAGGTGTGAAGGGCGGGCAAAAAGGACAAAAGGAAAAGTGATACGATGTCGGTATATCCAAAGACGGCGGGACTTGCTCTACGGCGTGGTTCGGCCTCTTACTTCGTGGCCACTTATACGGCGTCCTTTTTCCAGCTTCTCCTTTCTACATGCCTATTAAACCTTAGGGTCTCCTTAACATCTCCACATATGCTGGCTTCTACTATTGCGTTTCTCTTCCGTTGCCGATTTGACAGGTCTGTGAAGATCATATAAAAAGCTTGCCCTAAGAGCGGAGTTTGCATACCGACTATCTGTTTCCCGCGCAGGCACAGCCACCGAAAATGTGGGGATCTACGCCGAGTCCCGAGTAGGTCTGTTTCTTGCCTTGAATGGAAAAGGCCGTCCCGGAGAGTTGTGTGGCCCAAGATAAATTGTTTCCACTATCCGCGGCGGGGGCAGCGACTTTTCCCGGTCGAATCCGGGCATTTTGGAGCCAGTGGGAATTGCCAAGTTTGAAGATGGAAAAGTTGCATCTTGACTGGCTCCTCTTGCGGGGATGACCGCATGAAAAGCAATTTGTTATATTCGCTATAAAGGCCTGTATTTCTTTCTTGGCGGAAATAAAGTTTCGGTTATGAGACGTTGTAAATGCGCCCCCTGTGGTTGGATAGGAATAATCGTAGAAACGTCCCTGGAGGCCGCTGACTTGCGCCCCGACTGGAGAGGAGATGCTACATGCTGCACAATGCCGGACGGAGGTTTGTCTTCATAACTAGGCTCTATATTTGGGCAGCCTGGTGACAGCGGAAGCTCCATAAGAAGCCCCTCCTTCTCTCCCTCGAATATTGAAATTCTTGGTTTCTCGTCGAGGTGGGCCTGACGTTCTGTGAACAGCCAAGATAGTATCGGATCGGACATGTGTTCGACTTGGCAGACATATATAAAATGAGGCATTGGATATCATTAACAGAGCAAACCCAGACTAAAATACATTTCCTTCACTGGGGTGTTACATTTAGGATTTCGACCCCTGTTCCGCCTATGACGGATCAGTGTGGATTTGCCGACATTACTACTAGTATTATGGATTAAAATGCTCCTGAGCCAGGTTGCATTCGGAGATTTGTCCGTCGAGCGGCGCAAACTCAAAACCAGATGGTGACTCGGGCAGGGGCGGCGTTCATGATAGACTAGGGAACACACTAGATCCCTTGCGTTCAGTATTATCTCCAGTATTAAATGACCTCAGAGGTCCCTCGATTCAAACTTGATCTTCCATCACCAATAACTTATTCTTGGACAGTGGCCGTCAGCACAATCCCCAACAGGATCGTCTTGGAGGCGCAAGGACCGCGCTCAGCCAATTGGGGGCCACAAGGATGTCTGGCGGAGCAGTGGGGATGCAGGTACACACCAGCTGAAGGATGCCGGAATTTTAGTTTAGACTTGGACCCGATCTTGAAGTTAATCTTAATTTTCTCGGTTCATAGCGAATCATGAAGCATCTCCATCAACGATTGGGAAAACAAAGCGGGGAAGATGGCAACGATCGCAACGATGACAGAAGTCAAAGTCTGGGTTCAGGAACCACGTTTTTTCTAACCAGCTGCTTTCAGCTGTGGTCGACCATCTCTGATCACCCACGCCCAGACATCCAGGCCCTTTCTCGCAATCACATGGTTTCTTCGATTGGGCGGATCGGAAGATCGGCTCAGGTAGTGCGAGATCGTCCCACCGATTTCATTTCAACTGGTGACGTAAACAGCTTGGCTGGTCTTGGCGGGTTTCGCGTGCTTCAACTTCAGACCTTTCTTCTGCCCTCAGTTCTCTCTTTATTTTCTTTGCCACTCTTTCGTTTTCCAGCTCCAATTGCTCATTTTCAGCGATCAACAGGCCCGGGATTGAGCAACAATGGCAGATTCTCGCGGAGAAGCCGCGGGCTACTACCAGCAGCAGGGCGGCAATGGTTATGGTCCTGGCCCTCAGATGCAATATGAGCAACAGCCATACAGTCAACCATATGGTCAGCCGCAATATCAACAACAGTACCCCCCACCGCAGAACCCACCATACCAACAAAAACCTCAATATGACCAGGGCGGGAATAATCCTCCTCCATATGGATATCAACCACCTCAAGCCGTCAGCGGTGAATATACCTTTGATCAGGCATTCCGCATAGATAAACCCAAGTGGAATGATCTCTGGGCTGGCATTTTGGTATGCACATCCGACGCCTTTCCCTTGCGCAAACTCCTCTTGATGCGCCGTACGACTGACATGGCCACTACCACCATCGTATAGTACCTCCTCTTTGTCGCTGGTTTCGCAGCTGTGTCAGGGATCGCTATTCGTGGATATGCGACAACGAGAAACGTCAACGGCAGCGGCATCTACGATGGCACCAACAGCTTTAGCCTCTCGACCAATACGATTATCCTCTTCGTCTTCTGTCTAGCTATAGCTCTGGTATTCGGATATGGCTACATCTGGCTTATCCGGCTCTGGCCGAAGCAATTCATCTGGTTAACCCTCATTCTCAATGTTGTCTTCGCCTTCGTCACGGGCATCTTTATGATTGCTCGCCGATCCTGGGGTGGATTCCTCTTCTTGCTTCTCGGCGTCTTCCTGATCTTCGTTTACTGGTCATGGAGGAAGCGCATTCCATTCTCGGTCCTCATGCTTACGACTGCAATCGATGTCGCAAAAAATTACGGCCACGTCTACCTTGTTAGTTTCCTCGGTGGAATCGTTGCCATCGCCTTTGCCGCCTGGTACGCGGTCACCGTCGTTGCCATTTTCGCGCGGTATTCGACGGGTAACAACCCTGCCTGCGCCCCCAATGGCGACTGTAGCGACGGAAAGGTGGCGGGATTGATCGTCTTCTGCACGTTCACCATGTACTGGATGTCCGAGTGGCTCAAGAATACCATCCACACCACAATCTCCGGTGTTTACGGCTCCTGGTACTACAGCTCTCGAAATTTCCCCAAGCATGCTACCCGCGGTGCATTCAAACGCTCCATGACCTACAGCTTTGGCTCCATCAGCCTGGGAAGCTTGTTCGTTGCTATTATCAACTTCTTGCGACAGCTCTGCTCTATGGCTTATCAGTCGCAGGCTTCCGAGGGAGATATTATCAGCATGTGCATTATTTGCTGTTTGCAGTGCATTCTAAGCATGATCCAGTGGGCTATCGAGTTCGTGAATCGATACGCATTCTCATACATAGCTCTGTTTGGAAAGGCGTATTTCCCGGCCGCAAAGGCAACTTGGAAGCTCATCAAGGACCGTGGCATTGATGCACTTGTCAATGTAAGTCTAATTCCCCCCCCCCCCCCCTCTCCCCCCAACCCCCCACAAAAGCCTTTTTACCTTGCTGAGATTCTAATCTGACAACTTCAAAGGAATGTCTCGTCGGTCCCGTTCTCACCTTCGGCGCCCTTTTCGTCGCCTACGCCTGCTCGCTCCTCGCCTACCTCTACCTCGTCTTCACGAAACCGGAATACAACAGCAAGGGCGAATACACCGCAGTCATCATCCTCTTCGCGTTCCTCATCGGTCTGCAGATTGCTAACATCTTTACGACACCGATATCGAGTGGTATCGACACCATTTTCGTTGCCGCCGCTTGGGACCCCGAGGTCCTCATGAGGGATCACCCCGACATTTACGATGCGATGGTGCGGGTTTATCCCCAGATCCAAGCCGCGATACATGCATAGAACTATTTTTTTCGTTCCTTTTTTTTTAGTAAACGTTTTGTGAGGTTGCAAGGGTAGATTGACTTAGAGAGATGGGCATGGGAATTTCGTTTCTAAGTTATTATCCCATAGAAGCGCGTCAGGAGCATCCGTCATAGTCATGGAATGCACAGGGTATGGAGATTTAATAATTATATTTCCCGAATCCCGGGTCAGCCTCGCATTAGTTGGATCAGCATTCATAATCCTGAAACGCGGACATGTGGGCCGAGTATAGTAATCGAGGCAAAGGATTGGTCTCACTGCCTTTCTTTCAAGAGCACCAACGTAGAAACGTCCGATGTTGGATGTCAGGATTCCAGGATTCAGCAGGGCTTCGCTTCGTGGCGGACGTCAAAAAGGAGTAAGCGTCGCACAAAGTTAGGCTATTTATATTACCAGGACACCCACCCACACAGACTTGACGCGCAGCCAATCACGCCCCGTCTGTGTTTCTAAACTCGGAAACATGTCAGAGCTAAGAAGAAAAGGGTTCAATTTGCGACGCTGCCGATAGCTATGCTAACTTGGACAAGAGAAAAAAAAAAAAATGATGCTCCAATGAAATGCAATCCCAAGTGGAGATATATCTCCGTAATGAAATACCGAACCTTGAGTTCGAACAATGCAAGCCGCTCCAAAGAAACATAAGTTAAAGAGAAGTAAATCGCGTCGGCACCAGAGGGACTATATCCCAAAGATGGTCGACGCCCCAAGGTAGGAGGTACAACTGAAATTAAAGAAGAGGGTAGAAAGAAGAGAAAAAGATGCAAGTGAAATCCACCAAGAAAGACTTTTGTTCCAGAATAATCTCATAGATGCAAGTGAGGACCGATAAGATCATACACTAGTCGCAGCCGCCATCGAGGTTAGAGTCTCGTTCTCCAAGTTCGCTAACAAGGAAGATACGAAAATAGGATAAACCTACGTGCAGGTCTGCCAGTTGCTGTTGCGAGATTGGTTGATGATAGAGAAAGTGATATCATCAGCCACGAGAGAACCGCCAGCGTTGTTATTAGTCCTCGTGAGGGTGAGGCGAGTAGCAGCCCTAGCGGTAACGGTAGCATCATTGGGCGAGCGGTTGATAACCTTGGCGGGAGCAATATCGATCCTCGACCACTGGTTTCCAGGAGCCCAGACACCACCCGAGAAGGTGCTATCGGGCGGATTGGCACTGTTTCCGGTAGAAGAGGTATAAGAGGCAGCCACGCGACCCGTAGCACCAGAGTCGACCTGCACGAAGCCGTGGTAGGCCGCTTGGAGGTTTCCGCTGGTGCAGCCGCTGGGGTAGGTCAGAGTGAGGGTGACGGTGCAGTCCTTGGTGGTGACGCCTCCGAGGTTGGTGTTGTAGGAGCGGAAGGCGATGGTGCCTACGTCACGGTTGGAGGAGATGGTGACGGTGTAGGAGCCGGACGGACAACCGGCTCCTGATGCGGTGATGGAGGCGAATTCTACCTTGGTGACGGCGCGAGACTCGAGGGCTGCGGGCTCACGGACTTCAAGGGTAGTGTCGATTGGGGCCGCCTCTCGAGGCTCAACGGGAAGAACAGCAGGAGCCGCAGCGGTGAGGCCCGCGAGGAAGAGGGTGAAGATGGACTTGAAGTTCATTGCGACAGGATCAAGGGGGTTTTCGTAAGAATATTAAACAAACTACCTATAGAAGGTTGTAGGGCTGGAATCTGGATATAAAGAAGTCGCACTCTATGACACGGTGTATAAGTGGTGATATTGGTGATGTATCAAGATGCTATGAAATCCGGGTTTGAGATGAAAGAAAAAAAGGAGATAAGAAGGGAGATATTATATATACATGGATGCAAGCGCAGGAGAATCGGTGCCTGAGCTGGGGAGTAATATATGTAGGGCTATGCTAAGCGCGAGATCCTTCATGTCCGTCTTTCCCCTTCCACGCCACGACGTTGGCGGCAGTGCGTAAGATTTCGGCCACGCCTGGGGGGGGCCACCCGCAGTCACACTCAGCATCATTTTTTGCCCCCAATCCACCCGACCAGGAAGAGGGAGTGAACCAAGAAAAAGAAAAATGAGAGGAAAAAAGGAGAGATGTAGGGTGACATTTTTTTCCGTGTTGAAGGGAAATTATTGATGTGGGATGGTTACATTCGCACGTTCAGCACTGAGGTACGAAAGGAGTGGGTGTTAGTAACGCGGGGTGGTCTTTTGATGGCGGACGGCCGGTTACTGCTCTAACTTAGAGATCGTGCCTTAATTTGCTGGTCCGGGAATCCCAATGGTGGGGCAGGTGCCGAGCGCAGACCACCAAAAGTCTCAGACAGCGGCGCATCACGGGAGTTTTCCGGCCTGTGGAAGTAACCTACGGTCATGAATTGATCCGCTACGTCCTTTTACCGACTCCAAATACCACCCAAAGCGCGGGATGAGTGAAACCGGGTGTCAGTCACTTTGAGGAGCCTCACCATTGGACAACCCCTGAAGAACATTGGTGATTACGAAGTATAACAGGAAATCCGGCGACTTGTTCGGTTGCTAAACATAGATCCTACCCGACTGGCACTTTTCAGCAGTCCAGAATCGAGCGTCACGACCGGGCTGGGTCAGAGAGTCGAAGAAAATCAAGGCAGCTCGTCGGGGAAATGGCTTGGCGGGCCCAATTGTAGCTCCTCCTCCTGCAGACTAAAATGTAGTCATCATCGAGGTATGGTTCTGTCAAACCTCGAGAAAGGTCAGTGGCCTGCCACGTACCTCCAACAAGTGGACGTAGATGCAGGAATGGAACTCTTGTTGTTCCGTGCCGCGTTGCTGGCCATTTAGCATTCAATACTGCGACTTCGGGTGGCTTCTGCAGTCGTGTGATGGACGATTCGCACGTAATAGTCAAGGTTGCGACGTTGAGTCCTGATCTGATGAGAGCGTTGTGCGGGGAAGGAATGGGGTGGGAAGGATCATCGACGGAGATGACCCGGGAGTGTCATTTTCTGAAGAAGATCGTATCCGACTTGCTGGAGGGATCGAAAAATGGGAAAGGGAGGGCTGCGGTCTTCTCAGCCCAGATCGACCTGCTCAGTAAGCACCAAGGACTCAAGGACTCGAGGACTCGAGGACTCGGTGCTTCTCAAGAGTCATCGTCCCATTATAACCCGAATAAAATTGTCTTCGGGGACGGAGAAAGACCATAATGGCAAGGTCATCCGCTCGAAGGCGACAATTTTCTTTGGCGCGCACACTAACGGTATCCGAGACACGGCACGTATCCAGGATTGAAGAATGATCATCAAGATGGAGGGGCGTGGGTGTTGCTGGATTTTGGGTGGGATGAACCGGATGTGGCCATGAATGGAATGGGGGCGGAATAAGCCACGCTCTCTAGGATTCTGAAGAGAATGCGAAGTCACATTGTCGCGCAGATGGAAAAGGGGAGCCTGGAGTGGAAGAATGAGGTCTTTGTCTGTCGCTCTCGAGTGGTAGTTTCCTCGAGTGTCCGCATCTCGGCGCAAGTACGAGGAGAGGCAAGAACAGGAGCAAAGCGGACCCCAAGCTTGACTTTGCCTTGATGGCGCCAGGGCGATCTGACGAGACAGGCACCCCGGAAGCTGTCAGCCAGGCATAAATTAATCATTTAAGCTTCTGCGAACCCTGGAAGATTCTCCAGCAGAGGCCCTCGGGCTGCTTCTCGAACGGCCAGGCTGTCCGAGGGTTTGGAATTAATTAAGCCTGCAGAAGAATTACCTAGGTTCTCTCGGTAGCGGCAGGGGCGGAGCGGGAATGGATTGATCTGATCTTGTTGATTGCCATGTTTGACATACATCCGTGACCAGTGACTCGGTAGTAGTAGCGCATGCTGCGCGTTAACATTGATGGAAATGTCTGTTTGGCATTATCGTTTCCCAGCCATTCTCCAGAGGACCTGCAAAACCCGGTTCGTGGCACTTGATCGAGGCAGCTTCCATGCTAATATCATAACAAATATGATGGATCAAAAAAAATCGAGGAAGACAAGAGGAAGAAGAATTACAAGCCTCATTATGACCAGAACGCGTACATGGGGAGAAGTTGAAACGCCGCTGCTTAATTGTCCCAGGACAATGACCAGCAGCGATGCTCCAATGTTATTTGCTGAGTTGTTTTGGGTGAACTTTACGATCATGAGGGAAGATATTGAAGCAATTGTTTGATATTTCCTACCCACATCCTTCTTCTCAGACTTGAGCAGAAGAAAGGAGACAAAAGCTCGAGATCACAAAGAATGCTATCTCTTGTCCACGAAGATAGTTATTACCTGTTGCCATCGCAGCAGCTTTTTTGGTTCGGTGGACTCCTACAAAGAGTCGATGAACAGAGTTGAGATAGAAAGAATGGAAGGTCCTCGGTGCATCCTTTGTGTTATGAGCAGAGCGACTGAGAGTATTTACGACAGGCACCAGACGACTTGAAGCTTCGCTGGTAGACCAAACTTGATGCCGTCTTCTTTCCAACACCTCTTGACTTGGAAAACACTCAATCAGCCCGACCGCTTCTCTGTCACGGCCCTCATCTGTCTTAAACACTTTCCCTTCCCTCCCCTTCTCATTCACCTCACTAACACATACCGAACTTGACTCAAACATAATGCCGCCCAAAAAAAGGTCCATCACGATGCCGAAGCCGAAGTCGAATCCCTCTCGCGAAAAGGGAAAGGGAAAAGCCAATGCTTCTGCTTCCACCCGCAAAAGGACGCGCGGGGCCTCAGAAACAGAAAAAGGTAACAAGAAACGCCGAAAGACCACAGCTCTCAACAAAGCCCCAACCCAGCGACTCAACGTCTACGTCTTCGGCGCAAACGAGAACGGCGAGCTGGGACTCGGGCCCTCCGCCGCTGAAGAGGTGATTCGCCCGCGTTTGAACCCCCACCTCTCGGCCGACTCTGTTGGTGTGGTTCAGCTAGCTGTCGGCGGTATGCACTGCGCTGCGCTTACCCATGATAACAAGATTCTGACGTGGGGCGTGAACGACCTTGGCGCTCTTGGACGGGATACCACTTGGGATGGTGGCATGGTGGACCTCAGCGATGCTGAGGATGACGTGGATCCTGAGAGGAATCCTAAAGAATCAACGCCTGGCGAAGTAGAGATGGACAATGTGCCTAATGGTACCATCTTCGTCCAGCTCACAGCCGGCGACAATTGCACTTTTGCACTGACTAGTGAAGGTACTGTCTATGGATGGGGTACGCTTCGAGTATGTTTCCCACCCATCTTCCCTGTTAGAGTTATTCCTAGGTTACTAACGTATTCCAGACAACCGATGGTGCTACCAAGTTCCAACCTGATATCGATATCCAGCGAACACCCGCCCTAATCCCCGAGTTGGAAAAGGTTACCAAGATTGAAGCTGGATGTAATCATGTCCTAGCACTCGCGTCTGATGGGAGAGTCTATACCTGGGGCTTTAGCGATCAGGATCAGCTCGGCCGCCGCGTTCTAAAACGTCGGGCAGGTCCATGGGCTGGCCTTAACCCCCGTAAGCTTAGGCTCAAGGACGTCGTTGACATCGGCGTCGGTTCCGACCATTCATTCGCCATCACCAAGGACGAATGCGTCTACGGCTGGGGTTTAAACAACTTTGGACAAACGGGAATTGCTGAAAATGCTGGCACAGACGCAGCCACAGTGATCGCCCCTACCAAAATCGATGGCCTGACGGAGGTGTCACAAATTGTTGGGGGTAACAAGCACAGTATTGCCCTTACCACCGGCGGAGATTGCTATGTCTGGGGTCGGCTTGATAGCTCCGCGACTGGAATGGATCTGGATGCTCTCCCAGACGAAGGAGTGATTTACGACAGGCGCGATAAGCCTCGGATTCTATCCAAGCCAACTCCGCTCCCGGATCTAAAGGTGAGCTTCATTGCTGCAGGTGGCGATCATAGTCTGGTCATCAGCCAAGGCGATCGAAAGCCATACAGCTGGGGATTCAATGGCAATCATCAGACAGGCCATAACGTCGAAGATGATGTCGAAACGCCTACGAAAATCGTATCTAAGTCAATTCGAGATAAAGAGTTTGTCTGGGCCGGCGCTGGCGGCCAGTTCAGCCTGCTCGCGGAGGAGGTGGTCATAACAGTTGAATCGGATGAATCGGATGAATAGACACGGTATTTCGCCATCAAAGTTCTTGGTTACTTCGTAGGCACGTTCCTAACACGACCCAGGAGTTTGAGGATCTTGCTGGAGGACTTTGGCATGGAGGACTCTTTTCTCCGCCTCGTATTCCCGGACCGGATTAGTACGTTTTCGTACTTCGGACAGCCCTTCATTGATTGACGTCCGCATGCCGCATGCATGCCAGCCGTGTCGGGTACGCATTCCCGTCCAATAGCCACTAACATTCCCTCTTCTCGACGCTTTGAGGGAACTCTTCTAATGGCTAGTCCTGGCCTACACGGATTCACCCCACCTCAAGCACTCTCGAGCATTCCAACAGATTACTCTGCTCTTCCCGTACCTATGTGAAGGACTTGAGAGTTAAATACATTGGAATACGTTACATTTTCTGCTTCCCCACTCTCCGTTTCCATGATGAATCGTCGAGGTGCCTTGTGCCCTTTTCATTGCCCACCATCTAATCCTTCTTACCTTGTTTATTGGGTCTCGTGTACTTAACATCGTGTTCTTCTCCTTCTTACCTGCAGCAGTTCCTGATGCCGCTGACATGCTTAATCCTTCCGCTTTGTGAACCCCGAGGACAGGGCTCATTCAAGCAGGCACGCGATGCTGTTAGGCGCAGAGTAGTTGCCAAGATTAGAAGGGGAAAGAATAATCATCTGTGATAATAAATCCATTTAAGATTTCTAGATCGCTTGAAGAAGGGCAGCCGCCCTTCCTGACCTCAGCTCTCCGTTAGGCGAGAGCCGTCCGCCCCGTGTCTGCCACCACAAGTCAGCATCACCGAGGATGACTCAATCCTACGATATGTACCGCCCTCTGCCAGGCACTTCTGGACACTCAGCATCTCTAGATGATTTCTCTGTTCCACATATCCCAACAAAAGCCTCACTCCATATACCCTGGCTTGCATCATGCACTCACAACCTACAGATCTAACGGAATCTTCTTCTCACCAGAGCGCAATCATAGACGTGTGGTGTGTCCCCCTCAATACCACCCTCCCTCCAAGAGAGCCAAGGCATCTCCATCCTACACAGGGCGGTTGCGCCGTGCCGCGTGATAACTTCAGCGCCATAGCCCCTGTTGCACAGCTCAGACCAATTTCAGTGTCTATTCTCGACAGGATTGTCCACGGCCGCTGATCCAGAATCTAGGCTCCCTGTGATGGGTAGATGGCGAGCTTGCCTCGGGGGAGGGTATCTCACGTTGATTATGGCTTGCATCCCAGGTCTCGGAGAGGTTGCTTATACGAACTTCCTTCTGTGTCGTAATGGAGCGTAGATAGAAACTCACTTTCGGCAATGATTCGCGCTTGATTCGCCCCCTGGCCGGAGCAGAGATGAAATCGGGAGTCGGTAGATCTGAAATTCCGTTCGGTCCAATATTGACGTAAGAGTCACTATTGTCAGTGAGTGCTGCAGGTTAGCGTACCAAAGATGGGAGAACGTGAGCTCGGAATAGCTTAGACTGCTCAGATGGGGAAAATCATAATTGCGACATTGAGATATCCAGATCGCGTGGTATTCACTCCCAATGAAGGGCCCAGAACGGCTGTCCTCTACAGCTTAACCCTCGCGGCTTTTTTTTCAACGCATCCTTCAACCAAAACACGGGTTGCGCTCGGATGACCGCACAGAACACCCGTGTTCACCTACATGCTAGGCTGCTCCTGACCCGCCTTGGAAGTTATTCTTCACCACGTGTTCGATATTAATCTGCAAGGACATGCAGAACCCGGCTTTCGGTGGAGACGTGGTTGCCTTGGCTCTTGAGAGAGGAAGACCGCACATGTCGGGGTTGAACTGCATGGCATCATGGTCGTGAACTCGAGAGCCGCCACGAAGACTATCCAGTAGCTAAAGCGCGCATACAATAATGGTGTATGCATGAAAAATGCGTAAACTTGCCCTCTCTCGTCGTCTTCTAAGTTGTGGTGTGGATTAGGTTTCCAAGGTTTTGTGATATCTGCAGACGGTGACTACGCGATACGACGTCGAGGGATGAAGAAAACGTCGAAGGAATCACGGATTGCCGAGACATGCGCTTAACTAGTTCCATTTAGGAAAGATTTATTGATATCAAAGAGTCTCTCCACCACTTAGCAGTCTCCATAGCGGAAGAAAAAACGTCACCTTCACTCCCTGCCGCTCCAGCATCACTCGAATTGCCTTCAAATGCTGCCGAGAACGTTCCGCCACGCTCCTAGATGGAGGGTATCTCGGGGGAGAACGGGGCCAGTACTCGCTGTTTTCGCATAGATTCAACCCGACAAAACATCTCGTCAAAATGTTTCTGGCGGATATTGCGGAATATTCTTCAATATTTCGAACATGGAAGTGATGTCGTGGGGTATCATTCCGTTAGACACGAGGGGTGGTGTAGTGGTAAATGCGACGGTCCCCTCATACCTGCATCCAGGATATCACATCGGAACTGATTCCGGGGAAGGGGGCCTGGTGAAGAGGTTCCTTCACGCACAAGCAGACGTAGGACTGCAACCAAGATTTGGGAGGTTTGCTCTGGGGATGAAAAAAAAAAGGCCCGTCTCGAGTTAGCATTCGTGTTGACTCATGGCAGAAGAACGGATCAAGTGAAGAATCCGCAATAAGACCGGGAAGTAGGCCGTATTCGTGAGCCATTCCACCAAGTCGAGACTATCGAGGGTGGAGAAACAAATGGCTCAGCTCAGATTTAGAGTCCAAGTATGGCCTGCTGCGATGGACCAGTGTTTACCCACTGTGACACGAAAAGAACCGCCGCAAGTTGATTTCGCTGCCTGGTCTGAAACGTCTCACACTTAGCTCACTTAGAGATAGGCATGTCGAGAAACCAGGAAACTTACAGGCTAGTATGATCTCCTATGGCCAAGGCCCGAGGTCCACGGACGGCTAACCCGTGCTAGATAGCAAGTGAGGTTCTGGGAGTTACACTATGATTATATGGATACTGGAGCCGTCTGCTTCTGAGACTTCACCGATAAGACCCGGACAGTTTTCATCTAGATCAAGGACTCCTCAAGTCAGGTTCTTCCACCAGACACAGGTTGATAGCTGTGGATTTGCACAATGAGATATCGTCGCGTGGTTTCCCAGGGAGAACTCGTGTTTAGACAGCTTCAGGTGCCCGACAACCACCCGAGATGCTTCTCCTGGATCATGGTGAGTAGTAACCCGGTTCGGAAGCCTGGGCAGGTATTCTCGCTTCAAAGGAAACTTCCATTGGCAAGTCCTAACTCGTTACTCAACAATGCAGCATCACCGCATACCCCAAATGTATGAAATGGTGTTTTTCAGATAACGTTCGTGGCGGCAACTTTGCTCGATGAAAGAATATTCGGAATTTAAGTCCTTGGCGGCTGCCCGGGATTCAAGAGGGATTGTCCCGCACACCATTGTTATCGACACATTCCTTAGCTGCTTCGGGTGCAAAGAGGGACGAGGTCGGAGGTCGCACCCCGAAAACCGGACCAACTGAAAGCTGTCGCCGCCCGGCCACTCATTTCGGCCGCTTGGCTCTTGCCCGTGAAGTATTAACAGCGGGAAGCGACCGCAACAGGATCACTGCGGAGAACATGGCCACTCTCCTCCATGAGGCCAGTGACAAGACTGCTTTTCAGCATCTGGTATAACTTGATCATCGTTTTGACACTCGGGGGGATACTCTATTCGTAACGGAGGACATTGTTTTCCAGCTTGGAAACTGGCTGCGCTACCAATGCACCATCGCAAACATACGCAGACATGAAGTTCCGATCGGAACGAACGATGGCCCGAAAGCAAAACGAAAGGAGACCGGACGAGTTGGTTTAGCAGATGACAACTTCGGGGATTCAGGAAGAAGCCCACAGGCACATCGAGCCTGTGAGTCCGATTGTTGTGAATCATGGCATCACGTCCTGCTTCGCGGAACGTGGCGGGAGGTCCAGTGCAGACGGTCAAGGGAATGTACACCGGCATGAGCATTATCTTTCACTAGTGATGATGGGGTATTGAGAAGGTGTCCGAGGTTTTTTGGGGGATGCTCGAAGAGGCTTGATGAACGGGTCTGGCATGAGGGTACTGGGCCCGGTTTGCTCCCCATTCTCAAAGATCCCCAAGCTCGCTCGGGGCCGACCTCAATCGGGGAGCGAGGAAAAGAAAGGGGATGGACGAGAGCAATGTCAATTCCCGCCGCCAGTCTTCGACGCCGACCATTGCCGGGCAGCGGACGCGTCAAGATGGAAGCAAGGTGCGCGTCGGAATGTCACACTTGAATGAGCAATGAGGTTGGCTAAGATGAGATAATTCCAATTTAGCACAACGGAGGCGACCGATGGCACGCTCCTCGGGCGAATGAAATATCAAGCAGGTGTCATCCATGGAAAGGACTCAAGGAGAACATGGCTGGCAACTTGACATGGGCAATGTCGCTAGACGCCCCCTACTTCGTACTGGAACAAAAATGGGTCTCTAACCTGCCAATTTTGTCCATTTTGTCCATCTCCCTGCGGAGAATAAACAATGACCTTCTTGGACAAAGGTACGGAGTAGTTAGTTGCCTTATTAAGAGAGGATCATACTGCTAAACGCACCAAATAGCCTAGCTTGAAACAGCGACGCGTGGCGGCGCCAAAGCTCTGCATATCGTAGGACAAAAGGAAGCGGGCACTGGCGTGCAGGGAGATCCAGGGTAGTAAGCTTTCCTGATTTAGTATGAGTAGCCAACCTCGAGGAGAAGGACGAGGTAGCAATCACTATCAAGCAGCAAATCCTAGCAATCCTTGCAGTGTACTCAGTAATACGGAGTATGTTGGAAGAGGCTCAAGCCACCTCCACCCAGCACCGACAAACCAGATGTTACGAAGCACGCAAGCCCCAAAATAAAACCATCCACGTGCGATGACCGTCTCAAACTATTTACTGGTTGTTGTGAGGGGGGCAATCCAAGTGACGCGTCGTTCCTATCATTACGACCTCGAGCTCCCCGACCTCGGTCGATCAGCC